AAGCCTGGAAATGTTTTTTTTTTTTTTTTTTAAGCATATTTTGTAAGATGCATCTTTTCTAAAACTAAGTGCTAAGTATATTGGTCTTTTCCTCTCTAGTAATGCCAAGATTTTTCAAATAAGAGAGGAGGAGGAGTGAAGACAGACAGACAGGCAGGCAGGCAGGCACACAGACACACACACATACACGTGTCTGATTTCTTGAACGTTCTGCTCAGCACTTACACCACGTGCTGTCCAGAATGAGTTTTCAGTTAGATTCTGTCTGTAGTTTATACAGAACTTTGGAGCATCTAAGCCTCCAATCCTTAAATTCTATGCTCAGGGCACACCTGCTGTGTCCACACCTGCCCCTCTGGAGAGCTGAACTTTCAGAGCCCTCTTGCTAGATTTCCTAATGAAAGAAGTAAGTTTCCCTGCTTGGTCTAATTTTGCTTCAGTTTTCATCCTAGGTAGGCCTTTGAGTTTGAATAATAAAAATAATTTGGTCTGTCCCAACTGCCCTAGTTATTTTTAAACTTAGGACCATCACAGAATACTTTTTCTTACTGTTCAATTTACAAAATATAGTTTCTAAGTATTTTTGCATGGTTCCACCAATGAATCCACCCCTGTAACCACCCGGTGCTCAAGGTGAGTGTAGGCCCCTCCCACCACCTTACTAAAGGGGCCTGTCACTTTTCCTGTTTTTTCCTAACTTAGACAATGCTAAGAACTTTCTCCTCAAGCTCAGAACCTGCTTTTGCCTCTGCTCAGTTACTCTCCAGAGACACACAAACACTTTTTCTGTCCACTTACTTCACAGTCTGCTCAGATGAGCCTTATAAAGTTACTTTCCACACCGCTGTATTTTTCAAAATGGCTCTTCCCCATCATTCCCTCTGTGATGTATTTCTCCTCACAGCTCTTACTACATGATGCCTGTACAATTTGTCTTCCTGCTGGAGTCACAGCTCCACCTAAGCAGGACTGTGAGCGTTCTTTTCACAAAAGTACCCAGCACATAAGTACTTAATGGTCGTAGAATGACCATTAATGCTATGCCTGTGAACAAATAAGGGCAAAGCCATGGTGCAGATTCTGCTCTAGCTTACTCTTTTGCCAGCATGGAGGTGCTTCTCACACTGCCCTGTCAGAAGTCCTGCATGGAAATCCAAAATGGAGCAGAAACTACATAAGATGCAGCACATGGCTATGGGAGACATATGCAGTCAGGCACAGAAGCCAGGGCTCTGAAGGCATCAGAAGGGTTCTACTCTAAACACCAACACCAACACCGTGCAACCTTGAGAATCCCCCTAACTTCTGTAAATAGGGTAACAAACCTCTTTGGAGTATATAACAAGGATCAAGGAAAATGCTGAAGCATCTTGTCAGGTACCACACATCATACCTACAGATATAGTATGACTTCCAGCCAGAGGAGGATCAAACTGTTTACTTGCAAACAGCCTTAAAGATAAAGTGCTTTATACATGAAGTGTTCATTCTATAGAAAGTGGGCATACATATAGGTTTATTCACACATGCATATATGGAAAGCACACACATACAAGACACAAACCCACAAAGAACCTCACTTACTGGACACCTAAAATCTGCCACATATTCCAGACTTTATTGTGGACCCTTTAAACGAGGTTTCAGACAAACATCTGTAAACATCTCATAGTACACTATGAGTCCTAAGGTCAGCTTGGTTCTACCACCAAATATTGCTCTAATCACTGCCCTGACTTGCAATCTCTAAAACAAGCCTCCAAATGAGTGAGCATTTCTTGTTGCATTTGGTGGATAAGAAAACCAAGAACCAGCCAGGTGTGGTGTTACACACCTACGATCCCAGTGCTTAGCAGGTAGTGGCAAGAGAACTGCTCTAAGTGCAAGGCCAGTCTGATACACATAGCAAGTTCTAGGCCATTCAAGTCTAGCTATCAAGATGAAGAGAGGATAACTGTTGAGGGAGGCAAGCTAAGAACTAGCTTTACCTATATAGTAAACAGTACTCTATGGCTCACACCAGTTCCTCCTCACCTAAACACATATGAGATTTTCTGACAGGCATGAACCTTGGCGCTCGATCCTATACCACCTAGGCTCATACCAAATACCTTCCCTGTAAGTACGTGTTAAACTATATTTCTTAGCAGAAGTTAACTTTTAGCTTTTAGTAGAAGTCAACACAGAACTTTCTTAACATAGGAAAGAAATAAAATGAAATACTGACTTTTCTCATAAATGTATGGGAATTTAAGCTTCATGTTTAATTCATACCACAACACCTTCACTCGTACCATCTATGTTTTTATTTCATTTACAGCCAAATATGCATGGAACAATCTATCCTTAACCCCAACAAAAAGACAGAATTGGCCTACTTCCATCCCAAGATGCCCCTAAACACTTTTCCCTGAGAGCATGTACCAGTGTATAGTCCTGATGACAGTGGGTATGTGCCCCACAAAGAAGCAGAGAGTCTCACAGAAAAGAGCATGGCCAGTGTCTACCTGTACCTCAGTATGTTTCATAAGAGCCACAATTAATAGTAAAACAAACATATGAAACACAAAACACAGTAAGGGTGTGACCACAAAAGAGTGACTTCAGCTTTTATAGTCAACTTTATTTTCACAATTTGAAAATATTTAAGTATACTGATACAGCAGTATACTGACACACCACAAAATCGGTGTTCTAAAATTATGTTCTTGCGCTGCATTTGACAGTGTCATTAGAAAAATAAAATAAAAAGGGAATACAAATGCACTGACCTAAATGAAGACAGAAGAGTAAGAAGAAAACAAATCTAATCCTACTATAGATGGTAAAGTAACTTTTCATGCCATGAATAACATAGTTAGCAATATTGGAACATTCAAACTACACATGAATTTTTATTTTGGGTCTTTCTTTCTCTCTTCTTTTTTTTTTTTTTTTTTCGCTTTGTTTTATTTTTGAGACAGTGTTTCTCTGTGTATACCTGGCTAACCTGTAGACCAGGCTGGCCTGAAACTCAGGGATTTGCCTGACTCTGCCTCCTGAGTACTGGGATTAAAGTGCTCCTGAACTTTGAAAGATGCACAAATTACATTATAACTTCTATACAAATTGTCATCGTTTTGGAATGAAGACATACCTGCTTTGGCTAACAGTTTCAAGTAGCTACAAGATACTAGTCAAAACCTGATGGAAATCCCATCTTTGCTAAGTCCTTAGAGTACATAAGCATATTCATTCTTACAGCTGTGTCATGAACATATTAGCCTTGAGAACATATTGTCCTGTCCTGTCCTGTCCTGTGCTGTGCTGAAGGGCAGCTTATCTTCTTTCGCACCTTTGTTCTAAATCTCAGGAGTAAAGGCTGCCTTCACTAGAGTCTGCTGGAAGGAAGCAGGCCTCTGCAGCTTGGCCTTTGGAAGGAGTCTTACCTCCAACAGTGTGACCTTGGACAAGTTTTTTAAAGTCTCTGAATTTTTTCCACATTAATAGAAATAATTCAAGCTCCCTATAGCTTTTAAGAAAACTGATTATATTTCATGTAAGTGACCAATCATAGTAAGATTCAGGAAATGTCGGTTTCTCGTTTCACTTTCTTCAAAGTCAGAGAATAGTTACTTAACACTGTTAGTCAAAATTTTTTTCTTTGGGGCTATGTTTAGGCTTGCTGGAAGCCAGGCTATAGTTTATTAGAACATTTATTCATATATTCGGAAAGATCTGAAATAGCTCTTTGAAAGAATGGTCTTGAAAAGTATACCAAAACAAAAAGCTTCATAAATTGCCAAGATTCTTACTCAGCTTCAAGAACTGATCAGTAATCTAATTTCAAAACCCTCTGTTCAAGCTCCATTGATTCATGGTCTGCTGCCCTCAGAAAGCATAACCACTGTGTTCACGATGAAGCCTGGGTTCAAGAGACAAAATCCTGGGGCAGATATCGCTGGCAGACTTTCACAGTTCCATTTAGTTTGCAAAATTTTGTGATTTCTAACAATGCAATACCAGTTTTTCATAAATACAGGCTTATTTCATGGAAAAATTCTCTAGGATTGATTTTGCTGTTCTAGTCTATATGAATTTGACTCAAACTTTGCATAGCATTGGTAAACAGCTACATGAGCTTCTGTTTATTTGGTCAAGGCACCATGCACCACTAAGTACCTCCTAACAGTGCCAGGAACCGAGGTAAGAGTTAAGCAAGGATGACACCTATCAAAGAAATAAAACTCTAGAGTCTCAAAGGGTTTTACTACTGCAGAATCTTTTACTGTTCAGGGATAATTTGCTTCCATTCCCATTATACAATTCCCTCCAAGCCTCAGGGAATTCTGTGGGAGAGGTGTATAAAATCTAAGAACCAGAGCCTAGGAAAGAATGCTGTGAAGCACTTCTGAACACAGGCCGGGGCCACCCACTCAGACATGCACAAAATCGGACCCTCCAACAGCCCATCACGGACGAGGAAGGCGTTTTAGAGTCCTCGTCTCTCCCTGAGTCCCCACCAGCAGCTAACAGCTACAGGAAGACAGTCATTTCCTTCAGCATAGTCACAGGGTATTCCCCACAGTCTAATAAATAACCCCCAACCCAGACTCCTGAAAGTACACCTAAGGAATCTCAGTGGAACATGAACACAACAGACATGAAAGTAGGTGGGGATCTTGTTAGAAAAAAGGGGTGAGGGAGAAGTGAGACCAATAACAGAGGATAACACGAGGGTGCACATGATCAAAGCACACACGCAAAGTCGATCAACCAACAAAGTCTTCGATGTAAACTTATCTTTGTCTGTATAGGCACAGAAAGCTAGTCTGAGCCATTTTAATATTTAAAATGCTTATGCCAAGAAGGCAGGCTAGCGTGACATCAGCAGGCTAAAGACCTAAAGAGCAAATTCTCAGTTTGTGGTGACTTAATGAGCACACTTCTGCCTAACAACCCAAAAGTCTATCTTTTGATCATAAACAGTAAATAAATAACCTGTGATCACAAAGTCCTACCTTTTGTGCATCTCCTGTGAAATACGCAATGGCCAGGGTGGGTAGGATCATGAACAGTGCATTGTAGTAGAGAAGCCCATACTTTCCCAGCTCCTAGGGAGTCAATAATTAGGCATTTCAGTTGGTTCTAGCAGATAGGTATGTTTAAACATAAACAGACTACTATTCCAATTATATGTGTACATTATGATGGGTGGTTTTTAAAGTTAAAAAGTGTCTTAATTTGAATAATTGCATTCAAGTCTGAAATGCAGGCCCAGGAACTTATGTCATAGGACTTAAGTTGACTGGCTCATGATTGTAAGTGGCTCTGAAATTACGGTTCTGACTTATTAAAACCACCTCAGTGTGGTCTTGGCTCTAGGTTAAACTAAATAATGGGCAAGTTATAACGGTAAGTACCAATGGAAAGGCACGCCTCTTTGTGTAGTACCAGGAAAAGAACAACACTGAGACTTCCCTTAGCAACAGGCGCCCGTGACTCAGAACACAAACTGTCCTGGAGCAGAGGGTGGGCAGGACGTACAGCCACCAATACCATCCATGCAGGGGACAAGACAAAACCGCAAATGTCCACACTCTTGTCTTCTCCCTTCACACTCTAATGATTTTAAAGGTTACTCTCCCTTATGACACTATTAGCTGTTCTAATACCACATCTCACTACACAGCACAGGCCGGACTTGAACTCAATCTCCTTGGCTCAGCCTCTTGAGTGCTGGAATCACAGTGCTGCCACCACACGTGAATTCATTCATTCATTCACTCGTTTGTTTGCTGAGGCATACTCTCGTATACCTCAGGCTAGCTTCCAACTCACTACATGGCTAAGGATGAAGCTGAACTTCTGATCCTTTTGCCTCCCGCTAGGCTCTAGAGTTCTAGTATTCACCTGGCTCACATGGTCCTGCAAGTTGAACCAAGGGTTTCATGCATGTTAGGCAAGTACTACATCGGGCATGACAGCCCATGCCTTTAATTCCAGCACTCAGGAGGCTGAGACACACAGATCTCTGTGAGTTCAAGGCCAGACTACTCTATACAGCAACTTCCAGACCAGCCAGAGATGCATAGTGAGACCATGACTAAAATTAATTAATTTAAAAAAAAACCCATCTCTAAAGAAATCAACTTAGCTATACCCTAGATCCATAAATAAGCTTTAGAGTGTTAATACAAGTCATAAGCCATTTCTAAGTATGGAACTGAAGAGCTCTCTTCTAAGACTAAAATACCATGAAACCTTTATTTTCTTTTAAGTTTTGAGACATATTCTAGACAGTGCTGTCTAAAATAGTAGTCACTAGCCATATGTAGCTAATTCATATGTCTAATTTGTCTAATCATTAGACAAAGCCACTGAGTTTCTCAGACACACCAGTCACTTTTCATATTCCCAGAAGCCATGCCTGCAGTGAGGGCAGAGATAATGTCCGCCATCACATTTGACTCCGCTGGGCAGTCTGCTTCAGAGAGCTGAGGCTGCTGGCTCATTGCAGAGCTGGCCTCAGTATCCACTTCTTTGTGAAACAGCAAATGAGCCAAAAATAAAATTATTGTAATGCCAAACTGCTATTCTCTTTCCTCTTTTTAAAAAGAATAAAAAAAAATTGTCACTAGTAACTTCAATTAAAATGCAATCATCACACAGACATCAAAGTGAGTAAGAGAAGGAGGAATAGCAGGCATTCTAAAGAAAGTGTTAAAAACAAATTTATAGTGTGTTTAGTGGGAGGAGAAACCAACTCTATGAATAAGAAAAACCTGTACGGACAGAGTCTATACTCTTCTGTTCTGGGGGGAGAGGCAAAATCCTGGCCAACTGGAAACCGCCTCAAAACAACAACTACCTGGAATCCACTAGGGTTACCACTCTTGAGTGGGACATTTGTTTTCACTTGTCATCTGAGCTCCAAAATGTCCTTGAAGTAATTTCAGAAATACTCGACACAGAATACAGCAGATGAGGAACCAAGTGGGTAAGAACATCTTACTAAGATAAAATATGAGCAGGAACATATGTCGGTTATAAGATTCGGTTCTGAGATAAACATGTATCAACTGCTCAGGAAAACGATGGTGACATCTGAGATGAATATCAGCGTGAGTCCTCACAAGGCCCATTAGGGAATTAAGAACAACCCCTTCACTAAGAGCTCCATGACAAAGAAAGGCAAAACCCAGATAGCTGTTTTCTTACAGAACTTAACCTTACAATGCAGCAAACAAAACAAGGGCTCAAAGACTTGGTTTCTGGGGGGCTGAATTGATATAAATCACACCTAACTATGTCTATATGTAAAGTAGATAGTGAGCAAGCAGACAGTATTGTGGAAGGCACTTGAGAGGTGATATTACAGGCACCAACCACAATGCCTTGCAAACATAAATTTATTATATTAGCATGAACATACACGGTACCTTCAGAGAGCTTCTGTGTCCTTCCCCAACCCTCCTAAGTATGTTTCTTTATTCCATACCTTCCCCACCATCAGCTGAGCATGCAATGAAGAAGCTGTACGGCACTACTTACTTTCGAATCTAACTTCTGTTTCACGTATGCTCCATTTGCTGCTGTCAGGACATCATTGATCAAAATAAAAACATATCCTTCCAGATCAAATGCCAAGTCAGAGCTGCAGAACATAAGCAACACTTTAGGATCACCTTAAAAAATACGCAGTTAATTTTAAACAGAGTCTGGGCTAAAGGACTAGGAAGAACATGTTCTTGTCTCAGTAGACCTTACGCATTTTATCAGCTACCAGCAATTCCTAAGACCTGGCCACATTTGTCGATTTTATGAGAAACATCCACGCTTACACGTCACCACAAAGAGTCAATGGTGCAGCCAGACGTTGTGGAGCACACATTTGTCACACCAGCACTCAGGAGGCTGAAGCAGAAGGATAACGAGCTAAGGCCAGGGGGCTATAGACCACGCTCTCGGGCAGCCTCCAACTACACAGTTCAGACCCCACCTCCAAACAAACCTCACACATATACACACACAATAGCAATCATTTCGGTTCACTGTCTACTGCTCTAAAGTGAAAGTCGGATATCAAGCAGCCACGTTTACAGATACCACGTGTGATAGCAGTAGGCCTTGGTCTCCAAGATAAGAAAGCCAAAGGATGAAGCTGTAGACAAGTCATTTTTTTTTTCCCCAAAGATTCACATAAAAGACAGAACTAACTTGTCACTGGGTGGAATTTCTAAAGCATGGATGATAGTTCTGATATCAAACCTCAAGATTGTATAAGCAAGTACTAAGAACTTAAGTAGTTAAATAATTGCCCAATGACGTGACAAGGTGTAACCAGAAAGATCAAGAAAACAAAGTAGCCTGATTATCGAATAACTCAGTACCTATAAAACATGAATGAAAATCTGACAGTATACCTGAAGTATATTCCAACACCCTCAGGTTCTACCCACATACTCGTATCTGAACAAGTAAAGGAAGCATCTAGACCACTGCAACTTCAGGCCAGAGGGAGAGCAAGAAGGCCCTGCTGCTTAGTACAATTCTGGTTCTCACTGGCATCGAGGGAATATTTGTTTTTAAATACACAGAGTTTGGCACCTCTAAAAAGAGAGGCAAGGCAACAAAACATAGAGGGAAAAGCAGTCACCTGTGCAGCCAAATTCCAGCACCCATTGATGCTGCCCTGTTTTTGTTTTGTTTTGTTTTCCCCTCTCTAAGAATGGAATTCCAGGGGCCAGCAAGATGGCTCATCCAGCACAGGCACTTGCCACCAGGCCTGATAATCTTGAGTCCTATCCCCAGGACCCACACGGTGAAAGGAGAGAAGAGACTGCCACAAGTTGTCCTCCACACATGCATCCTGTGGCACGCATATACACACACACACAAACTAAATAAGTGTAATAAAATTATTTTTTTAAAAAAGAATGGAATTTCACTTGGATATTTACCATAAGATCGAATTTGATGTTCGCACCCTCACTACGTACACTTACACCACATGCATATGATAAAGTATAATTAATGAGCCAAAGTAGTACAGTGAACTCCCAAAGGAAAGTAAGTTTGTAGCATTAAGTCCACACAGCCCAAGCTGGGTACCATGTCAAGAAAGTTTCTAGAAATCCTTTCAACTTTCAGTCTTTGGATATCTGTTTTCCCATGCCTGCCTGCCTTCCCCACTTCCTGTCTATATATGTACACAATATGTAATAATCAAATTGGGATAATTCACATTTTTCTCGCCTTAAAAGCGTATCATTGCTTTGTGTCTTCCTCCATATGGGAAACACTTCAGCACTCTATAGAGTAACCAAGTCATGACATTTGTGATATATCCTAAGAGAAGTCAAGTGAAACAATGTGTCTATTCCTTTTCTCCACAAGGGAAAATTGCCCTTCTTCTCCTCTCATGCAAGGGCAGACATTACTTTCTTTAACAGCATGCAAAGTGAAAGAATTAACGATGTTACCAAATCACAGACCTGGTTTCAGACAAATTGGGTTTCTAGCCCTGCCGCTTTCTAGTTGTAACCCTTGAGAATTACAGAAGATTGAGTTTCTTCAACTATACAACAGGAAAATCATAACCCTCAGAACCGAAAAGAATACATAAATGTATCAATGCTGAATATACTTTGCAGCATGCAGTATTCGGTCAGCAAGCAGAAGACAATATCAGATCCTAAATTACCTAAATGGACTGTAAGAATCCCCCCAGTCTACACTTCACCAGCTTTGATCTAATACGGCCTAGAAGACTTAATGTTTGAAGTCTTTTCAGTAATTTTCAAGGATGCTAAAGATTTATTATTAATAACTACTGATAATTAAAACACAGACTCTATAGGCTCACATCTTACCTGGCAGCTACAAAGGCTCCAATAATCATTGCGAATACAGTCATCTTAATACCCCAAGAGAAAGTCTTCCTACAAAATAATTTAAAATATACACACATGTGACTTTATCCATATAGACTCATTTTTCATCAGTGACAAAAAAAGGGAGGTGGGAAATGCTTTCTTTAAAAAAAGACAAACACAGTCACATTTTAAATATGTCCAAGGAACTAGATATTTAAAAAAATGGAGTCAAAATTCCTTTTGTTATAGAAATAACTATATCTGTTTCTCTCCCGTTCTTACCATTTGTTTATCATTACTGGGCTAGAATTTTTATCTCAAAGTGACTTAAGCAGAAGAAGGTCATAAATATTTGCAGTAAAAGCAGCCAAGACATGAACACTATTTAAAGCCTAAGACTGTGGCCTGGCTTTGCCCACCGGCAGCAATAGACAAAAGAACTGTGGATGGTACATCGCATGTTCGGGAAGTTTTCTAACTGTGGCCTGCAACCTTCACAATTACATTATTCTGATAGCAAGGCAATCAGCCTGCTTAAACTTTTCAAAACTTAAAGTAGAAGCGAGAAAGACAATTTAATGTCTCATATATGCTGGGTATCTTTGCAAGGTGTTTAAAGGTATTTAAAGAGTAAATATATGGGGCTGGAGAGATGGCTCAGGAGTTGCATTCCTAGCATCCACATTAGGCTGCTCACAACTGCCTATAACTTCAGCTTTGAGGAATCCAACACTTTCTTCTGGCCACAGACAACCATACCCATGGCACACACTCACACAAACTCATACACGTAAAGAATGTAATCAATCTGGTAAACAAGGCCAATCGATCACAATAAAACTCACTTGAGTAGAGCTCCTTCAGCGAACATGGTAAACAGAATAGAGAACCGTCTCAGAACTGTAAACATGGGCAAGCTGTAAAAGAAACAGGTCGGCAAAATAAAGCTCAGAAGTACGTCACTGTAAATAGAGATTCTCCAAATCAGTAGCTTTAAATAATGTCTTCATGACTACAAGAAAGTTTCATATTGATCAACCTTTCCCTGGAGAAATAATTTCTTTATTTAAAAGCTTTTAAAACATTAACTGCCAATGGTAAAACCCTGCATCTATCAATGTATGCTAATAACATCTACTTTTAAGTTTCACTCTGATAACTACGCAAATACCCTGACTATAGCCCCATTAGTCTTTAACATGAAAGGCTTCTTCCCTTCTTCTTCACTGGACTGACTTCCTCTGGTCCACTAAGAAAATGTCTATGAAAGTCTTACCCATGGAACACTGTTTTACGGATGGTCCTCTAAATCCTTAGAGCAGTTTGCTTGCAGTAATCAAACATCCAAGCCTCTTTTAATGTTAGAATTTCTGAATATATCTCACCCTAGAATGCTTTCTACTTTTCTGACAGTCAAAGGCAGAGTGTGCAAATGCATGAATGGATGGATGACAATGGACTTTAACAAAAGCAAATGTTATATAAGGAGCACTGTGCAGCAGACCTGCAATTCCTCCCAAGTGCATTAATGAGATGGAAAAGGAGTCTATCCCCATGACAAATCTGACTACTTAGGAGCTCTCCCCAGAGGTATTCTGGTCATTCTGTCAGGATTCTTGATTTAAAAAAAAAAAAAAATTCAAAAAGGGGAAAACAAAACCTTCTTTGCCTCTGATCCTCACAGATCTCCATACTGTTTTTTTTAAGCTTTTATTTATAATTTTACATACATATGCGTGTATTTTTTACATACACATGCCAGTGAAAGTATGTGAAGAGGCCAGAAAAGAATGCTGGCTCTCCAGTGAGTTGTCTGGCCTGAAACCTGTATCCTTTAGAAGAGCAGACATTGCTTCTAACCACTGAGCCAACTCATCAGCCCTGTTTATACTGTTTTTAGTCATTTACTATGTCAGGGTTCCATTCAGTTCATGTAGGTTCCAGCTAAACTATTTTCCCCTGTGTATTTACCACACCTACACCTCCGCAAGTCAGAAGCCAAGAAATAGTTGGTGAGAGGGCAATGCGTGGTATTTCTAAAGTAAATGGCTCTTCAGTTACACCGTCACGGCTGATGTAGTAATCATGTTTTTGTCAAGATTCCATCTGACTTTAACCACTTCATGTTAAAAGGAAACCCGTGGAAATTCTTATGTCCACCTCTGATTTGCTGTACTGAATATACTTAAAATACATAGTGTTTCTGAACTATGTTACAGAAGCAAAATCCTAAGCCAGACACAAGGGCAGCATTCTGGAGGCAGACGTAAGAGGAGTGCCACAAACTCAAGGCCAGTCTGGACTACACAGTGTGTTCCAGGTCATCCATGGCTACAAAGTAAAATCCTGTCTGGGGCAGGGGGAAGTGTGTGTGTGTGTGTGTGTGTGTGTGTGTGTGTATCCTGCAAACCTGGCATAAATCTTTCTCGATGGCCAGCGTGCAAAAAACAAATAATAATAATCTACTGCACCACTGGCAATATTTGAATGCTTCTAACAGAAAAATACGAAGTGAGAAGGGAAATAAAACAAAAATTCATTCCCTAACTTCAAATAAATAACTTTTAAACCAAAACTGTGGGCTCAGGAATCATTATTTGATAAAAGGCTTCTTGGTGTTTTCCTGTCGTTTTCCTCACCCCATTCCTGCCATAATCAATCGTAACACATTAATACGACATTTGTGTTTGGTTTTAAGACCACATTGCTTTAACCCCTCTAGAAAAATAAAGTTACCCATACTTCAGTTTCTTTGTGCTGAACAGTCCAGTGATTTGGTTCCCAAAATACAGCAGAGGTAGTGGAAACGTCTGGAAAAGCGAAAAAGGGTAACAGATCTCAGTAACAAAGACACTGACAATAAAGTCCTTTCCACAGAAACAGTTGTGTTTATACAGTCAAATTCCTGCCACTTGAAACATAAGGTTAGCTGTAATAAGCGGCGGTGACCCTCACGAAACACCCAAACAACACGGACTATCCTTTGATATACGGGACTGCTGGCAGGAACAGAGGACACAGAAATATGAACGTGACCAACCATATGCGGCAGAGGCGTCTCTTGCTTGAAAATGGGGTACCGTATGAGTCTGAGACTCCAGTGTCCACAGAACAAGAGAAAGCATTCTGTCTTCGAATGGGGTCTCACCCAAGCACAGAGAAGAGTATGAACACAACACCCCCACTCTTAAAAAAAAAAAAAAAAAAAGAATAATGAGAGGGGAATTTCACGGATAAAATGGGTAGATCTGTTACCAGAAACCCCTTAATCAAAACAGAAGGATTTCTATCTTCATTTTTCAAGAGATGTAAGCACTTCCCTTGAATGCTCTGCTACCTGTACTCTTTAGTTTTGCTATATGCACTTACGGACTAGGGTTGGGGCTAGACTGAGGTTTTTAAATATGCAAGGCGCTCCCCGCCCCCTTAAGCCACAGAATGGCTCCTTTTTATAAAATAAAGTATCCCTTCTTTCTCACTTTTACCTTTCGAGGTACATTCCTGTCAAAGTCTGGAAACTTGACAACTCTGAGTGCCTTTCCCACCCAGAGAACTGCTACCGTGGCCACCATCTGCAAACAGAGAACACACACACTGATGCACTGTTCTGCACAGAAAGAGACACACACAAGTTCTGACAACGCAGACCACGGAATGCCCGAGATTCCAACTAACCTGGCCAAGTCCAACACAGAGCGAGGATGGAAATCTACAAAGAAAAAAAAGGGGTGGTGGTGGTAAAGAAGAGCGGTTTAAAACGGCCAGAAAACCCTCCAGACAACAGTGAACTCAACTTTCACAATGACAACCTTAAAATGCATTCGGATTCAATCCACACCAATGCCTGCCCCCCGTGCAAAATTAAATTAAATAAAATAAAATCTTCGATTTTGTAGCCTAGGGCGACCACTTGTCTCATCTTGCCCCGGTTTACAATTTCCCTCTCGGCTTCCTGCAACGGATTTTTCCAGAAAGTTAAGGCGGAGATCCCGTCAACGGCTCTAAATCTCTTAAATGAATCTTAGGGGGGTAGAAACACACACAAACTTCTGCCCCGGAGTCCCAGTGACAGCGGAGACGGCGCGTGGGCGAGCGGTCGCTCTGGTCCCCGGGGCTGTCAGCCGCGAGGGTCGCCCGACCCTGCGCACCGGCCTCGCTGCGTCCCTCCCAGCCCAACCCCGAGACACACACACACACACACACACACGCACACACAGCGCGGGGGACGGGGAGCTCGGCCCAGGCATCCCGGGCTGGGCTCGAACCCCGTCGCCGCCGGCCCGCCCGCCCGCCGCGCCTCAGCCCGCCGCCCGGCGGCCCGACCACCTGTAGTTGGTGAGCACGCTCTTGTTGACCACCACGATGAGGAAGGAGCTCACGCCGTAGAAGCCGGCGGCCAGCAGCTTCAGGAACACCGTCAGCGTTTCGGCCGGCGCCATCCCCAGCTCCTCCTCATGTCTGTGTGTGGAGGATTTCGCGGGGGCTTCTCCTTTAACCGGAGCATGCTGACGTCTGTGGACTTCCGCCATGGCGGCGGCGGCGGCGGCGGTAGCGGTAGCGGCGGCGGCGGCGGCGGCGCGGGCCCAGCGAGCGAGCGAGCGGGGCGGCGGGGATCCGGGCCCGGCGGCGCGGCGGGGCGCGGAGGAGCGC